CTCGGCATTCTCGGGGATCCCGCCCGCCCACCCTCTACTCGTGCACCCTCGGGGGTCCTGCCCCCCCCACGCACACCTCGGCGGTCCCGTGCCTCCACTCCCACCCATGCACCCTCGGGAGTCCTGCCCCCCCCGCACCTCGGTACCCATGGGGGTCCTGCCCCCTCCCGCACCTCGGCACCCATGGGGGTCCTGCCCCCCCACGCACACCTCGGCGGTCCCGTGCCTCCCCTCCCACCCATGCGCCCTCGGGGGTCCTGCCCCCTCCGCACCTCAGCCTGCCCCCACCCCCCACCTGTGCACCCCCGGGTCCTCCCCCCTCCCCACGCACCCTCCTCTCCAGGGGACGCGCAGGGTCTGCAGGTGACGGCGCCCGGAGAGCGCCCGGCACGGCCCAGGCTCGGCGGTCCCCGGGGCGGCGGGTTGCCCGCCGCAACTGGGCTGCGACCCGGTTGGAAAAGAAGCGGCCGTGGTTCCGCCGGGGGCCCGCACTGCCGGACAGGCGCCAGCTCTGACCCGCAGCTCCGTGTACCCTGGTGTCACTCGGGTCCGCACCCGGTCGGCGAGCGCCGCCACCGCTGGGGCTGAACGTCGCGCCGGTCGCCTTTCGCATTTCCCGAGGTCCGGGGAGCGGAGCCTGGGGGCGTCCCCGGGCACAAGACCCCCGCGCGCCTTCTGCAGTTCCAGGGCCCCGCGGCGCACACTCGGTCCGCTTGGGGGTTATTTTTATCGCACACGGGTGTGGGGCGGCAGATTTATGACCCCGGGATCCCGACGTCGCAGCCGCCGCGACTCTCACCCACCCGCCCCCACCCCGCCGCCCGCCCTCCTCCGGCCGGCGAGAGACCGCGGCCCCGTCCTGGCCGCCAGGCAGCGGCGCGCAGAGCGCAGAGCGCAACGGGAGGCGCGCGCGGAGGTCTCCGGGCTCCGCCCGCCCGCCGGCCGCTGCCCAGACACCCCTCGGCCCCCGGGGAGGCGAGGGCAGCCTGGGGGCCGCGGCCGGGGACGCCGCTGCCTCGACCTCCCCCGAAACGCGGCCGGCGCTCAGGACGCGGCGACACCGCCCCACGTCCCGGGACGCCGCGCAATCTGTTAGTAATTTAGCGGGACGGGAATTTCCTTCCCGAGCCTGCCAGGGGAAGCGCTTTTCCAAATTTCCACAGCGGGGGAAGCCTGCGATTTTACATAATGACTTCAGCATGCGGGGCTCGCTCCCGCCCGCCCCGCCCCCGCCCCCTCCCGGGAGCCCAGCGTGGCTCTCCCAGGTCCCCGGAGAGGACCCCGGCGTCCGGCGCGGCCCGGGTTCCCCTCGCTCCCCTCCGCCGCCGGGGCACCCCTGCCCCCGCGCTCGCTCCACCGCGCGGCTCGGCGCTCGCCCGCCCGCCGCCCCCCGGAGCCCCCAGTCGCGCGCCCCTGGCCTCTCCCGGGCGCCCCCGTCGCGGGCCGGCGAGCTGCGGCCGCCGCGCGGGGAGGGCGGCGCTGGCGACTCGTCCCCCGGGCCCCGCGCCGGCTCGGGCGGGCAGGGGCGTGATGTCACGGCAGGGAGGGGGCGCGGGAGCGGCGGGGAGGCGGGGGAGGTGTTTTCCAGCTTTAAAAAGGCAGGAGGCAGAGCGCGGCCCTGCGTCAGAGGAGCCTCCCAGCCTCGGACTCGCGGGCGCTGCACCCGCCGAGCGCGCACCGGGCGCGGCGCACGCCTCCGAGCCCCGCCACCGCGCTCGGGTTCCCCGGCCGCGGCCGGCCTGCCGCGCGCAAACCGCCACGTCTTTCCGTGGCGCGCGGTGCGGGGCGCCCTCGCGCGCGTCCGCCGGGGCCCAGGTCCCGCTTCCCCGGCGCCGGCCCGGGGGGCGCGGGGCGCCCGCCCCTGCTCCCCTCGGCCGCTCTCGCCGCCGCCGCGTGGATGCCAAGTACCAGCTTCCCAGTGCCTTCCAAGTTTCCACTCGGCCCTCCGGCTGCGGTCTGCGGCAGCGGGGAAACTTTGGGGCTCGCGCTGCCCGCCCGCGGCACCATGAAGTCGGCAGAGGAAGGTAAGCCCCGCGCGGCCGCCGCCCCCTGCGCGCCCCGGGACTCCCCTCGAGCCGGGCCCCCGCCCCCGTCGCAGCTCCCCGGGCCCCCGCGCCCCGCCCGCCCGCTGCGCGGGTCCCGGCCCCCGGGGCAGCCGGGCCGGCGGCGTTGAGCTCCCGTGGAGTTGCCCGGGCCGGAGGCCGGGTCCCCTGGTGTTTCCCGGAGCGCGCCTTCTTGTCTCCTCTGGCTGGCTCTGAGTGCGCCGACTTGGCCTCCTCTGGGGCGACCTCGCCGCGGATCCCGGCGGCGGAAACCCAGCTGCAGCGCGAGCGACTTGGGGACGGGGCGAGGTTAGCGCCGTCAGCACCGCAGGGGAAGCCGCGCGCGCGCGGGGGGGGGGGGGGCTTCCTAGGATGGGAAGGCTGCCCCGCTGCTTCGAGCAGCCGCGCGGCCGGGGTCCTGGCGTCCCGCGCCCCCGCGCTCTTGCGCAGCTCCGGGCGCAGCCGCCGGGCGCCCGGGGTCCGAACACGACCCCCGATTCCAGCCTCCGGGCCTGGGCCGGATCAGGGCGTGCGGCCGAGGTCGGAACGTCTCCGAAAGTTTGAAAGCGGACCGCCGGTGCCGAGCTGCCGGCTTGGCGCGAGAAGACTCGGCGGTGGCGACCTGCGCTCGGCGCCCCGCTGCGGAGCAGCCTTGCAGCCCTGGCCCCGTGCGCCCGCGGGTGGCTCCCGGTGTGTGTGTGGGGGTGGGGGGGGGTCCAGGCGAGAGACCCTGCTCGGAATCCCGTCCGGCCGGGAGCGTTTCGCTGAAGTTAACTTTTTTAAAGCTGGCAAGCGTGCCAACGCGTGGCGAGCGCTCTGGAGTCGGAGACAGGCCGCCAGCCTCCGACAGGCGCTGTGGTTTCCTGCCCGGCGCCGGCACACGTGCGGCGGCTCCCGGGTCTGGAGGCCCCCAGACCCGCTCACTCAGACCCCGCACGGTCCCCCGCGCCGTCCCACCGTGCGCTTGGGAGCAAGGGCGGGAGGGGCGGCCTCGGGCCGGACCGTCTCATGTCCGTCTTAGGACCGGCTCTGCCGGCCCGCACTGCTGGGGGCCTGGTTTTCAATGCCCGCAGATGCAGACCCGCCACCGCGTGCAAGTTGCGGGTCTCCTGGAGCCCAGCCTCTGGGGCGTCTGCGCTCCGCCCTCTAGCGAGGGGGCTGCTCTCGCACCAGCGGGAAGGCCCCTGGCGCAGGCGGTGGCCTTTTTCATGGTTGCTACCCTAGAAAAGCGAGTTTGAAACGCTGCTGCTAACGGGTGGCGCCGAGGACTGCTCAGTGTCCCTAGCTTCACAGGAGTGCGGAGCTGGACCACGCAGGATGCGCAGGGGGCGGTGGTTGGGAGGAAGCGCGAAGCCCCCTCCATTGCGAGCAGGCCCGGCGGCTCTGCCCGCGGAGGGCCTCAGCACCCCCGCACTGCCCGCCAGATGTTCCAGCGCTCCGGAAGCTCGCTGGGTGCCCTTTCCCATACCTCTGCCTCTCCTCCCAGAGGGACACAGAGCATGGCAGGCCCGCAGGTCGCCACCCAGCCTGGACCAGAAGCCCATGGCCCCGCAGAGTGGAAAGAAGCTGCCCTGGGCCCAGCCTCTCAGCTTGGAGGCATTGTTCCCTAGTCTGGATCGGAAGACCGGGATAGTTTGCAGCCTGCTCTGCCATGCCCAGGGCTGGAGCTCGGGGCCCACGAGCCCGCCGCAGCCCCGCGGGAGCAGCCCCGGGGGGAGCCGGGAGCTGGGTGGAAGTCCAGACCAGTAAAGCAGCCTCAGCCACAGCCAGGCGCCGGTGGGGGGCAGAGGTGCAGGGCGAGTATCCTGTGGCTGCCCCCGGTAAGGAGGGGGCCCGGCCAGGCCCTCACCCCCGCCCCGGACCTGGGGGCCGGGTGCACAGGGAACCTGGGAGCCCGCGCTGGCCGGGCAGGTGAGCCGGAAGTCGTCATCTGGACAGGACGGAAGGCTGCTGTTTGGGTGTGATTCGCAGTGCAGCAAAAGTGTCTGGGTGTAGCAGTGACAAGGTGGCTGGAGTTATTAAAAAGGACGGAGAAAGGAAAACGAAGCTGGGGCGTCTCGGCTGCGGCCAGAACTTGACTTTGCCCAGGGTCAGCAAAAACAGCGCTCCAGACCCAACCGGCCCTGCGGCCGGTCTCAAAGTGAGGACTGAATTAGAAACCGAATTAGGCCGCACCTAGCGCCTTAGCCTGTGACAGGGGAGCGCCGGTCACGGGAGGGGGTCTGGGCCCAGCCGGTGCTGGAAGGGGACCCCCTCTGGGTGCTGGCTTTCCTGGTGCGGCGGCAGAGGCGGAAGGAGGAGCCCCGGAGGCGCAGGCCCAGGGCGGCAGGGTCAGAAGGGGCCCAGGGCTTCCTGACTGCCCGCTGCCCCCTGTGACTGCTTGTGCCGCAGGCCCCTCGCGGCCGGGCAGCCACATGGCCGGGTAGCCGCTGCTCGGCGGGCACTGGGAGCCGGATCCGGGCGCAGGGAGCCGCTTCGGAGCGCCTTCGTGTCCAGGGCACCTTCAGGGAAAACCTGGGCGAGGGTCCTGGGACCGCCGCCCCCGAGGTCATCGTCGGAGGCCGCCAGGCTCGCTCGGAACAGGGGGCTCGAGGGCCCCCGCGGCTTTTCTGGGAACTTTTTAGAAACACGCGGTGCATTTGGTCGCCGCGCTCCGGTCCCCCCGGGGGAGGGACGTCACATCGGGCGCTCCAAGCGGCCCGGGGAGCCGGGTGCAGGCGAGGCCCGCCCAAGCCCCCTCCCAGCCGCCAGGGCTGGCCCGAGGGGCGGCCTGGGGGGGGTCCCCGCCCGGGGGGTTCCCCGCCCGCAGCCGGGCACGAGGCCGAGGCGTGCGCTCGCGCGCGGGCAGTTTATTTAAAACTCGGAGCAGGCGGCCGTGAGCCGCTTGTTTATGTAAACCCGGAAACTCGGCGGGGCGGGGACAGGAGGCCCGGGGAGGGGACGGGGAGGGACCAGGGAGGGGACGGGGAGGGGACGCGGAGGGCCCGGCGGGGGTCACGGCGCGCGCAGGACGCGAGGCCGGGCGGGCGCGGAGCCGCGGGGCCGACATGACGGGGCTGGAGGAGCCGGAGTTCGACTTCGAGTTCCTATTCGAGTTCGACCAGAGCGCCGAGCGCGCCGCAGCCGCAGGTGGGTCGGGCCGGGAAGGAGCCGGGGCGGAGACCTGGGGGCCCCGGTGGCGCACCCCCTCCCGCGCGAGGGCCCGGGGCCCGCGCCCCTGCTCCCGGGCGCCGCAGCACAGGCGCAGGCCCGGACGTCGGTGGCGAGCGCGGGGTGGGCTCGGAGGCCGCGCGCGGGGCGAGCTGCGCCAGCGCGCAGGTGGTGGCCCGGCCCCCCTCCGCGGACTTCCTGGCTCCGGCCGCCGCGGGGCCGCGCGGCGGCGGAGGGCGCCCCCTTCCCGGGTGGCCTGCGTGCGGCGCAGGACTTGGACGTTGCGGGCCGGGGACAGATGGTCAGTGGCGCTGCCAGAGGGCAGCGGGACGCCGCCTTCCGAGCGCCTGGCCCTGCCCTGCGGGCCGTGGGCGCACAGGCCCGGGAAGGCCCGCGCACCTGCGCTGTCCGGAGCCTGAGGCGCCGGTGCCAGCGCCCTGCTTCTCCCCAGCCGCCCACTCGGGACCCGCCCCTTCCTTCCATTGCTCCGGTCCCTGTGGAAACTAAAGACTCTGGTTAAGCAAACACCCCCTGGCCGCCCCGCACACACCGCGCCCTGGGCGCTTTCCTCACCTTCCTCAGGTTTCCCTTGGTCCCGGGTGGCCGGGGACACTGGTCCGCTCACTTGTCACCCAGTGGCCTCCTTACAAACTTCCAGCGTCGTGTTCCTTTAGAGAACTGTTCCGAGCGGGCTGGCGGTGGTTTGTTCCCTGCCGGTCCCCGGGCAGCCTCTCTGGCATCTTGTCCCGCGGCTGCGGGTGCCCGGCAGGAGCCGTGGAGGGACAGGGCGGCAGCTGCGGGCCGACGTGGGGCTGGCGTGGACCCCGTGCCTGGGCAGTGGAGGGTGCTGGTTTCCTGAGCCAGTTCCGCCTCCACTTCCGCCTCTTTCCATCCCCTCAGCGGCAGCCTGACCTCCCCTGCTGTGCGAGTTGGTCCCAGCAGGTCCCGCACTGGGAACCCCCGCCCTTCTGCGGGCCGTGGGCAGAGCCTGTCCCGAGGGATGAAGCCTGGGCACAGCTCCTGGCGCTTCTGTGGTGGTCCGCAGTGGTCGGGCCTTGCCCTGTCTGGGTGACGTCCATGCGTGGCCTGTGTATGGCCCAGGCGCCCAGCGAGGGCTCAGGGCTGCCCCAGGGGCACAGCTGTGATCTCAGCTTGGCCTCCCCGAGGGAGGGCGGTGGTCCCCCAGCAGGGCTGGGCCTTGGGGTGCTCAGGGAGGGGTCGTGTGGGCTTCTCAGAGCAGAAACGCTGGGCATCAGTGGGGTGACAGCTCTGGGGGCTGCCCCAGACTACGGCCCACTCTGAGGGGGTTGTCACTCCGACACCCTGGGGTGGGGTGGCCTCCCGAGCCGGGCCACAGGGTCTCAGGACAGTCCTCCCGGCACATGCCAGGTGCCCTGGTAGAACCAGGAGTCAGACCACCTGGATGGCCGCGGTGCCCTGTTCAGAGCCTCCTTTTGCGGGGCTGGGCGGTTCCCCGGCAGCGTTGGCGGTGTCTGGGCCACGCCACGCACGCGAGAACTCCAGGAGGCGGCGCCAGGCAGGGCCCAGTGTCCCCGCTGTGGGGCCAGGGTGCCTGAGCGGAGTGGAGCGGCTGGGGCGGGGGCAGCCAGGGCCGGGAAGAGCCCTTCCGCTTTGTGGTGTTGGAGGAAGCTGCTAGACCCTTGGGCGCAGATGGTGTGAGGGTGCGGGTGTTTTTCTCCGTGTTAGCATCCCCGAGTTACATTTTGGTCATTAATGATTCAATTACGCCGGTTATTCACATCACGCTCTGATATTAAATTAAGACCTGAAGGTCTCCAGCCCCTAATGGGTGATAGAAACTGCTTCTGGATTGAGCCTGGACATAAATCAGTGAGTGGGGGAATAGTTCTGAGATGGACAGCAAAGCAGGATGCTTTGAGGGTTTGCACTAAGCACTGAAATCCCTGCGCCCGGGGCTGCCTGCTGGCCACGTGCTGCCTTGCAGGCGGTGGGCTCGGCGGGGTGGGGCGGTCAGGACCCCCGCCCTCCACATTGCACTGGGCACGAGGGTCTCCAGTACTCGTGCCGGTGATGGAGTCTCAGTCACCCTGTGCTGGGAGCAGGGCAGAGCTGTAAAAACAGCCTGCCCCGGGCAGGACAGGCGAGCAGAAGGCAGGGCCGTGGGCTCCCGCGGGAGGAGGCCCCGCTCCCTCCGAGGCTCAGGAAATGCGTGTGGCTGCTCGGCCGCCAGCTGGGAGGCGGGTGTGTCCTGACGCCCGCCCCGGGGCTCCTGTTTTCTAAGTTATTTTGGCCTGAAGGCTGCCAGCACTGTGTCTCCGTGGCAACTCAGGAGGAAACTGGCCAGGGCCTCTGGGCCTCGGGCTGGAGCCTCCGGGCGGCCGGCACCTCCCTGGCTCTGCAGGGACAGCGGTGGCACCGCCCTCCAGGCGCTGCTGGTGGCTGTGGGGTCAGCGGTGGGCGCCTGCAGGGAGGGGCTGGCAGCTTTATTTGCAGCAAATGCCGGGGAGCCCACGGCTGCTGAGCGTGGGGCAGGCCGGGCCGAGGGGGAGCACCGAGTTTGGGTAAGGGGCGGGCTTGGCTGTGTGACCGGGAGACTTCCCGGGGCCACAGGAGGCGAGGGCTAGCTTGCACTCACACAGCTCCCGACAACAGAGAGCCGGAGCTGCCGCCCGAGGGCTGCGGGCCCGGGCTGGACGGAGGCCTCTGCAGGTGACAGCCTGCTCCCCTGCGCCTGGTTTGCTGTGGCAGGGTGTGCTCCTGCTTTCGTGAGCCTCTCCTGCCGTGGGGCGTGGCCTGCCAGGTGCCCTGGGCACCGAGAGCCAGGTGCCGTGCTGGGAGCTGAGCGAGCCCCTCCCGTTGCGTTTCCAACACCTGCCCGACCATCAGCGCACTTGTGCCCGTCACGGCCTCCACTGCTGCGGCCAGAGGCGGTGTGGGCAGCTGGAGGAAGGCCCTGGCTGCCGGCGGCCCCTGTTCTATTTCTAGCCTGGTGTCCGGCAGCTCAGCCGTGCGGAGGCTCAAGGGGGTGTTCCTTAAAGTGAAAAGTAAAAGCTGAGCGTGAGAGCCCTGGCTCGGCGTGTGGGACGGGCGAGGGGTGGTGGCAGGGGCTGTGGGGGGCACTGCGGGGGCACCCGTGGCAGGCGTGGGCGGCCGGTCCCTGGACAGAGCGAGTGGAGGGCAGTACCCTCTGAGCCCAGGGGTGGCCGGTGTGGCAGTCTTCCCTCCTGATGAAATGACGAGGCCAGGCTACAGACAGACTCGGTGGGAGCTGGCTGAAGACCCGCCGCCCCGCGCGCTGGCGTCCACTCCCGCACCCCCAGACCGTCACGTGCCCAGCAGGGACAGAGCCGTATCGGGAGGGCAGGCCGCACCCTCCCTGGTCTGTGTTACATCGCCCCGTGTGCCCTGTGCGCTCCACTGGCTGCTCACCTGCACTGCGGCCCTGGCCGCGCCGCCTCACTCGTGGTGTCACCTGGTGTGACAGCAGCCCGCCCTGGCCGCGCCGCCTCACTCGTGGTGTCACCTGGTGTGACAGCAGCCCGCCCCGGCCCCAGGGTTGTAGGAAAGTCGCTGGGAATAGTTTTGTTCCATGCAGGCGCGGTCCCTTTGAACAGCGAAATAGTCAGATTTGCATCCGGTTTAGGTGGAAAATAAAACCCAAGTCGGTGGGGGTGGGGCCTGCCTCTGCCTCCCAGGGGGGTGGGCCCCGACTGGCGGAGCGGCCCCTGCCTCCCAGGGCTCTGGGCTCCTAATGAGGTCTGGGCATGTAAGCTTTCATTTTGCAATTTGCTTAATGAAGGAAAGCCCAGGCGTAGGTGAATCTTTTTAAATAGGGGCTTTATGCTTTTCCCCTTTTCCTCGCTGAAATACTTTGGTTTAAATAAAGGCCCCTCTTGGGATGTTGGGGGCCCGTGGCCGGCCCCAGGCACTTCCGTTCTCCTTGGCTGGGCCCCTCGTCTCCCAGCCCCTTCCCACACCTGGGGACAGTCGGTACTGCTACCCTGAAACCTGCGGGGCCCTCCTCCCCGTGCCCCCACTGCAGCCAGCGTCTCCTGCACCTGGGCTCTGTCCCTGCATCCCGGGGGGGGGGGCAGGGAGCCTGTGTGGGGCGCAGCACCTGCGGGTTCTCTCCGCCTCCCCCCGCCCCAGCCACTGCTGCCCACCGTGGGTCTCCACCTTCCCCCACCCCAGCCACTGTTGCCCACCGTGGGTCTGCCAGGCACAGCGCCTGCGGGTTCTCTCCACCTCCCCCCGCCCCAGCCACTGCTGCCCACCGTGGGTCTGCCAGGCACAGTGCCTGCGGGTTCTCTCCTCCCCCCGCCCCCACTACCTGCTACACCACTGCGCGGCCTCCTGGGTGTGTCATTGGTCAACAAGGAGTGGCGCTGAGGAGCCGATGCAGTGCTGGGCAGCCCCCAAGGCCCTGCTGCAGCCACGGTGCATGGGGGGGCCGCCTGAGCAGGGAGAGGCCCCTCAGCACCTTCCCTCCCCGTGCCCCATCACAGTGCCCCCCACCCCGTCTTGCACCCTCGGTCAACCTCATGCAGCTCCGTGGAAGCCCTGGGCGCCCTGTTGGCGGGGCTCAGGGGTGCCCAGGGGCCATGGGTTTGATGGAGGAGGGGGCTGGTTTGACCCACTGAGGCCCCCAGGGAGGGCTGGAGCTGATGTCGAGTGGTGACCAGACGTGCTTTGTACAGACTTCAAGGGGCTCCCAGCCTGGCCGGAGCCTCCAGACGCAGTCAGCCACCAGGCAGTTTTTAGTAAGAGTGCAATTTGTGTTTAGCGCTAGATCACGGTGTTCCGTGTACAGTACCCAGTGAGTGTGTGATTTCGGGTCCCAACCAGGAGGCAGGCTGCAAGCAGGTATCAGAGTCAGGCCGGGCTCTGGCCATCTCCCTGGCCCCAGCAGGTGTGGCTGTGGCTTGTCCAGGAATGGCCAGCGCTGAACCCAGGTCTCCAGGCCTGGCGGGCGGGGCCGGCAGGGCGCAGGTGTCCTGTGCGGGTGCGGCTCTACCACCTGCAGGGGTTCTGCCCAGCGTGCCTGGACTTCTGGGAGGCTGAGGGGTGAGGGCGCAGTGCCGTGCCGTTTGGGGACCGTGAAGGGTGCTTTTGGCCAGGGAGCTCTTAGCTGGTAAGAGTCACAGACTGGCTTCCAGACTGGCTGTCCGGGTGCCCCTTCTGGAAACCGGGGACAGTGGGCCCAGGTTTGGGGCAGGCAGTCATGGAGGCCTGCGGGTGGGGGGGGGTGGCCCGCAAGTGCTGGCTCTGAACCGGGGCTCCATGGAAGGCGCCCTGGATCAGCCCTGTGCAGGCCCCACCCCGGGCTTCCCGTGGTGCAGTTTCCGTGGCTGAGAGAGCCAGGCGTGCGTCTGCTGCAGTGTCACAGAAAGGCCCCCAGGTCGGCCCCCCCCCGCCCCCAGCACGGCGTCTGTGGAATTCCGTGGGCAGCAGTCATGGCTTCGGAGCTGTGGCACCGAGGCACAGCCAGCCCCCGGGGAGTCCGAGGCGCAGCCGTGCACAGAATCCTAGCGTCCAGGAGATGCGCTCCTGGGGGAGTCGCCGGCACTGGGGACCCCCGCACCTCGTACCCCATTGCCTGGGTTCCAGCCCTGGCCATCCAGCTCCCCGCTACTGCATCTGGGAGGGCGGTGGCCCCTGCTCAGGCTCCGGGCTCCAGCCCTGCCTATTGAGGGCATCCGGGGAGTGGACGGCGGAAGGGCCATCTCTCCGGGAGTGGACGGTGTTAGGGCCGTCTCTCTCCGGGAGTGGACGGTGGGAGGGGCGTCTCTCCGGGAGTGGACGGCGGGAGGGCCATCTCTCTCTGGGGAGTGGACGGCGGGAGGGCCGTCTCTCTCTCTGGGGAGTGGACGGTGTTAAGGCCGTCTCTCTGGGGAGTGGACGGCGGGAGGGCCGTCTCTCTCTCCGGGGAGTGGACGGTGTTAGGGCCGTCTCTCTCCGGGAGTGGACGGTGGGAGGGGCGTCTCTACGGGAGTGGACGGCGGGAGGGCCGTCTCTCCGGGAGTGGATGGCGGGAGGGCCATCTCTCTCTGGGGAGTGGACGGCGGGAGGGCCATCTTTCTCTCTCCGGGAGTGGACGGCGGGAGGGCCGTCTCTCTCCAGGGAGTGGACGGTGTTAAGGCCGTCTCTCTGGGGAGTGGACGGCGGGAGGGCCGTCTCTCTCCGGGAGTGGACGGCGGGAGGGCCGTCTCCCACGCTCCCTGCCTCCTTCAGTCCGCCCTTTGGCCCAGTCAGCCCTTACACAAGGTGCGTCCCTGGGCCGAAGCCAGTCCCAGAGCCTCCGTGAGAGGACTCGGAGTCTGTTTTATCCCACGCCGGAGGCGCCCGCGCTGTTCGCAGCCAGCGGTTAGGGCACCAGGCCGTGACTCGGGTGCCGCCACGTGACTGGGTCTAGGGCGCTGTGACGTCATTACCGCGCCGGGACGCGGCTCAGGTGCCGCCACGTGATTGGGTCTAGGGCGCTGTGACGTCATTACCGCGCCGGGACGCGGCTCGGGTGCCGCCACGTGATTGGGTCTAGGGCGCTGTGACGTCATTACCGCGCCAGGACGCGGCTCGGGCGCCATGACGAGACGAGGGCTCTGCGGCGTGATGAGGGTTAGGGCGTGGGACGCGACTAGAGCTCCATGGCGTCATCGGGCTGCCGTGAGGGCGCTCGGGCTGTAGAGCTCGCGCTGCCTTCGCCCCTTCCCCGCTTCCCTGCCGCACTGGAGCCGTGGGGCGAACCCAGAGGCCCCCGCTGAGGGCGCCGTGCAGCGGAAACCACCCTGTCAGAGGTGGCGGGGAGGCGAGGGGTGAGAAAGTGACGTCGCGTGTGATGTGCGTCAGAACGTAAGCCAGACACAGTGTGCGAGTGTGTGGTCGGGGGCCTGAGGTCCACGCAGGGTGCTGGGGGCAGCCACACCGGGCAGAGAGGAGGGGCGGGGCCCTTGGCCAGAGCGGACCCAGGCTTCGCGCTGGGTCAGGTGCGGCCGCTGCCGCCGGCTGACCTCAGGGGCTCTGGGGCTCGGGCCTGGCCTGCTGGCGGCTGGGCGGCCTGGGCTTGCTGGCTCGGGCGGGTGTGTGCTTCTTGGGGACCTACTTCATGCCGCTCTTTCTTGTCTCCCTTCCAGAACACTACGGCTACGCATCCTCCACCGTCGGCTCCGGCTTGCCTCTGCCCGCGGCCCATGCCTCGGTGCCGGCCCCGTGCCATGACCTGCAGACCCCCACCCCAGGCGTCTCCGCCGTCCCCTCCGGGACTCACCCCTCGGGGTACGGAGGAGCCGTGGACAGTGGGCCCCCGGGCTACTTTCTGTCTTCCAGCACCGTCAGGCCCAACGGTGCCCCGGCCCTCGAGAGCCCGCGGATTGAGATCACCTCGTACCTGGGCCTGCACCACAACAACAGCCAGTTTTTCCACGACGTGGAGGTGGAAGACGTCATCCCCAGCTCCAAACGGCCCCCTTCCACGGCCACGCTGAACCTGCCCAACCTGGAGGCCTACCGAGACCCCTCGTGCCTGAGCCCGGCCAGCAGCCTGTCCTCGCGGAGCTGCAACTCGGAGGCCTCCTCCTACGAGTCCAACTACTCGTTCCCATACGCGTCCCCTCAGACGTCGCCATGGCAGTCTCCCTGCGTGTCCCCCAAGACCACGGACCCCGAGGAAGGCTTTCCCCGGGGCCTGGGGGCCTGCAACCTGGGCTCCCCCCGGCACTCGCCCTGCACCTCGCCCCGTGCCAGTGTCACCGAGGAGAGCTGGCTGGGGGCGCGTGGCTCCAGGCCCGCCTCGCCCTGCAACAAGCGCAAGTACAGCCTCAACGGCCGCCAGCCCTCCTGCTCGCCCCACCACTCGCCCACGCCGTCCCCGCACGGCTCCCCGCGGGTCAGCGTGACAGACGACAGCTGGCTCGGGAACACCACCCAGTACACCAGTTCGGCCATCGTGGCGGCCATCAACGCGCTGACGACGGACAGCAGCCTGGACCTGGCCGAGGGCATCCCCGTCAAAGCCCGCAAGACCGCCCTGGAGCACTCCCCCTCGTTGGCGCTCAAGGTGGAGCCGGCTGGGGAGGACCTGGGGAGCACCCCACCCGCGTCCGACTTCCCGCCCGACGAGTTCCCCTTCCAGCACCTCCGGAAGGGCGCCTTCTGCGACCAGTACCTGTCTGTGCCGCAGCACCCCTACCAGTGGGCCAGGCCCAAGTCCCTGTCGCCCACACCCTACATGAGGTGAGTGCCCACGCCCTACCCGAGGGAGCAGTGGCCGAGGATGGGCCCCGGGGGTCTGTGAGTGAGACCTGTGGCCGAGGGGCCACCCGCTCGCCTCCTCTTGGAGGTCACGTTTGCAGGCGAGGGCTGCCTGCGCACAGCCAGCCCTCGTGTGCCTCCTGGTGCAGATGGGGCCTCGGCTCCACAAGTCCCCAGAGCTGCCGCTGGGCCCACAGCGCTCGGAGAGCAACACGGCCTCCGTCCCTGGAGACGGCGCCTGCTCGCTGGCCGTCTGCTGCAGGCGCAGGTCTCGGGTTGTTGGTTTCTCTTGTTAATGGGGCGAGGGCTGCTCGTGCTCCTTGGGGCCTCCTTGCCCTGCCCAGTGTTTTTATTTTTAACTAAACGGCTTCCCCAACAGGTGGGCCTCGATGACACTGGCAGCGCCTTCTGCTTCAGGGTTTTATTGGAGGCAAAGACGTCCGCAGGCTCTGACCTCGTCCCCAGGAGCCCTTGAGACAGGCACCCGGCTCTGCACGCAGCCGGCCACGTTCCAGGCGGGGTGGGAGACCAGGCCGGGACGGCTGAAGCAGGCACGTGGCAAGGCTGCTGCACACGGGCGCCATCTCCGCTCCTGGGGGATTTGCGGCTGGAGCTGCCTGTGGCTCCGTGGGTTCCAGACAGGAATGCGCCCAGCTGAGTCCTCTCTGGGGAGGGGACGGTGCCACTCCCATCCTGCAGCAGGCTCACTCCACCCGCCGGCTGGCCTGCCGTCGAGGGTTGGAGTCAGTTCAGATCATGGGGTAGGCTCCTCCTGCCCTCCCCGGTTTCCTCTCAGTGCTGTGAGGTTTACTTGTTTATTTGTTTTCAGTGTATTTGAAAGGCAGAGTGACAGAGGGGGAGAATTTTCCATCTGCTGGTTCACTTCCAAAATGCCTACAACAGCCCAGGCTGAAGCTGGGAGCCCGCGACTCCCTCCTGGTCTCCCATGCAGATGCAGGGACCCAAGCGCTTGGGCCGTCTTCCACTGCTTTCTGAGGTACATTAGCAGGGAGCTGGATCGGAAGTGGAGCAGCTGGGACTCAAATCCACACTCCAGTATGATACGCCAGCGTTGCAGGCAACACCGCTGTGCCATGGTCTTGCCTCCATACCGTGAGGTTTAAAAGGCTGGTGTGCTTAGCGTTGGCATCACAGGAAGTGTACCTTGGAAACTGTGTTTCATGCATAAATGTGGGAATTTTTTTTTTCGACAGGCAGAGTGGACAGTGAGAGAGAGAGAGAGAGAGAGAGAAAGGTCTTCCTTTTGCCGTTGGTTCACCCTCCAATGGCCCGCCGCGACCGGCATGCTGTGGCCAGTGCACCGCGCTGATCCGATGGCAGGAGCCAGGTACTTCTCCTGGTCTCCCATGGGGTGCAGGGCCCAAGCACTTGGGCCATCCTCCACTGCACTCCCTGGCCACAGCAGAGAGCTGGCCTGGAAGAGGGGTAACCGGGACCGAATCCGGCGCCCCGACTGGGACTAGAACCCGGTGTGCCGGCGCCGCAGGCGGAGGATTAGCCTAGTGAGCCGTGGCGCCGGCCTTAAGTGTGGGAATTTAAAAATCACATTTGAAGGCATTTAAAAGTGAAAAACTCCTCGTGTCTGTGGCGTGGCTGCTGTGTAGGAGCCACCACACCGGCCAGCACCAGTGCTCCCCAGCAGTCACACACCTGGCACCTGTGCCCTCGCACCTTCGTCACGTAGAGCCCAGCTGTCGGTGTGCGTGGCAGTGACTGCACCCTGAGGAGCCTCGGAGAGCTGGTGAGGATTCAGGTCACCCTGGTTACTGTCCCCCGGCTTCTGTTGCAAAGCGTCAGAGACAAGTGGCTTCCCCAGGACTCTCTGGAGGCCTGAGGCGTGGGAGGGAGAGAGGGAGGGTTGCGCAGCCTGTCCTTTGTGGGGCAAATTGTGCAGTGTCCAGATGGCCCTCATCCAGAGGACTGGGACCCACTCTTGTGACCCCATCTTAATGGCATGTAATTGAGCCCTCCCCGACAGTGTGGGATAGGGACAGAGTACCCCCACAGCCCAGCCCATCCCAGCAGTAGTGGGGGAATGAGCTGGGGGCGGTGTGTGTTGTGTAGCAGGTAAACCCGCTGCCTACAATGCCAGCATCCCATGGGCTCTGCTTAGTGTCCTGTCCAGCTCCTTGCTGATGGCCTGGGAAAGCAGTGGAAGGTGGCCCATGTGCTTAGGCCCTGTCGCCCTCGTCGGAGACCTGGTTGAGGCTCCTGGCTCAGCCTGGCCCAGATCCGGCCATTGCAGCCACCTGGGGGGTTAAGCCAGCAGTTGGAAGATCTCTCTCTCTCTCTGTCTCTCTCTCTCTCTCTAACGGTCTTTCAAATAAATAAATCTTAAAAACACAAAGAAAAGAATGAGCTGGTCCCTGGCTTTCGCTGTGTGCTCAGCGGCGGGCGGGGCGTCCTCGGGAGCCCCCATGTAGGACTGCCCTCGTCGCTGGGTGGCTGGCAGGCCTGGGCTGCTGGTTTTTTCCTTGGCTTTGGGGTATTGGCAGCAGTCGTAGGCCAGGGGTCTGTTCTCTTTATCTCACGGCCACAGGGCTCCTCGTCAGATGTGAGCCCGTGGGGTTCCTGTGTGTTAATGCACACACACACGTGAAGGGGCGCAGGGTCACCTTTTCCCACTGTTTTGATTCCACATCAAAAGGTGTTTCCTGGCGGCTGGCGATGTGTTTCCAGGTGACCTCAGGCCCGGGGCCCCGGGTCGCTCTGCCGGCGAGATGGAGTGACCACACTTCCTTCCCTGGCCGTGCTCAGCGGGTGAGCAGCAGGCCTCGCGGCCAGGCGCTGGTTGACGTCAGCAGGATCTTGGACAGCGCGATGAACTGCTGTATTTCCAATTATCTCCAAAGTTTGGACTGGACGGTTTGTCCCAGCTCGCCCGTCTTCCCCTTTCCTGGGCGCAGTGCCGCTACCCTGTCGCTCGTGTCCTGGTGCCGAAAGGCGCTCTGTAGTGAAGGCGTGCCGTGCAGCGTCCGTGGCGCCCTGTCCACGCCTGGCGTGTTGGCAGGCCCACGGGGGCTCAGGGGACGACACGGCGCTCTTGCCGCGGTTGGGGAGGTGATGGTTTGTGAACTGGGTGAGCACCTGCCAGGACTTCAATTTTGGTTACTTCTGTCCCTCAGGCTTGGGTTCCTGACCTGCTGGATTCCGCTCCAAATACCAGACTTTTTGGTTCCCTCTTCTAGTACCAACCTGTGGCTGTGCACTCTCTCTCTAAGATTTATTTTATTTGAAAGGCAGAATTACATAGAGAAATAGAAAAAAAAAACTTCATCTGCTGGTTCATTCTCCAAATGGCTGCAACAGCCAGGGCTGGACCAGGCCAAAGCCAGGAGCCGGAGCTTCTTCCAGGTCTCCCATGTTGGGGCAAGAGCCCAGGCCCTGGGCCATCTCCACTGCTCTCCCAGGTGCCTTAGCAGGGAGCTGGATGGGAAGTGGAGCAGCCGGGACTTGAACAAGCAGCCACAGGGGAGGCCAGCACTGCAGGTGGCAGCTTAACCTGCCGGGCCACAGCAGTAGCCCCCGTGTGGCCACTTTATAGTGACTCACTTCTTCCTGCAAACAGCTCTCGATGTGGTCAGGGCTGTGTGTGCCGCGCGAGCCCTGTGTCCATGGGAAGTGTGTCTGAGCGCCCCTTGGGCCAGCTTGATGGGAGTCTTGCCCACATGACAGCTTATATGTTGTGTGAATGCCAGGCACCAGCTTCAGGGAGCGCCCCCCACTCCAGCCAGCCAGAGTTCACCCGGATCCTGTGAATGACGGAGCACACCGGTGTCCTGAGGTTCTGTGAGGGACGGAGCACACCGGTGTCCTGAGGTCCTGTGAGGACGGAGCACACCAGTGTCCTCAGGTCCTGTGAGGGACGGAGCACACCGGTGTCCTCAGGTCCTGTGAGGAAGGAGCACACCAGTGTCCTCAGGTCCTGTGAGGATGGAGCACACCAGTGTCCTCAGGTCCTGTGAGGACGGAGCACACCAGTGTCCTCAGGTCCTGTGAGGACGGAGCACACCAGTGTCCTCAGGTCCTGTGAGGACGGAGCACACCAGTGTCCTCAGGTCCTGTGAGGACAGAGCACACCAGTGTCCACCAGGCCTGTAAGGGACAGAGCACACCAGTGTCCTCAGGTCCTGTGAGGGACAGAGCACACCAGTGTCCTCAGGTCCTGTGAGGACGGAGCACACCAGTGTCCTCAGGTCCTGTGAGGGACAGAGCACACCAGTGTCCTCAGGTCCTGTGAGGACGGAGCACACCAGTGTCCTCAGGTCCTGTGAGGACAGAGCACACCAGTGTCCTCAGGTCCTGTGAGGACAGAGCACACCAGTGTCCTCAGGTCCTGTGAGGGACAGAGCACACCAGTGTCCAGCAGGCCTGTGAGGACAGAGCACACCAGTGTCCTCAGGTCCTGTGAGGACGGAGCACACCAGTGTCCTCAGGTCCTGTGAGGACGGAGCACACCAGTGTCCTCAGGTCCTGTGAGGATGGAGCACACCAGTGTCCTCAGGTCCTGTGAGGACGGAGCACACCAGTGTCCTCAGGTCCTGTGAGGGACAGAGCACACCAGTGTCCACCAGGCCTGTGAGGACAGAGCACACCAGTGTCCTCAGGTCCTGTGAGGACGGAGCACACCAGTGTCCTCAGGTCCTGTGAGGACGGAGCACACCAGTGTCCTCAGGTCCTGTGAGGGACAGAGCACACCAGTGTCCTCAGGTCCTGTGAGGACGGAGCACACCAGTGTCCTCAGGTCCTGTGAGGGACAGAGCACACCAGTGTCCTCAGGTCCTGTGAGGACGGAGCACACCAGTGTCCTCAGGTCCTGTGAGGGACAGAGCACACCAGTGTCCTCAGGTCCTGTGAGGACGGAGCACACCAGTGTCCTCAGGTCCTGTGAGGACAGAGCACACCAGTGTCCACCAGGCCTGTGAGGACGGAGCACACCAGTGTCATCAGGTCCTGTGAGGGACAGAGCACACCAGTGTCCACCAGGCCTGTGAGGACAGAGCACACCAGTGTCCTCAGGTCCTGTGAGGACGGAGCACACCAGTGTCCAGCAGGCCTGTGAGGGACAGAGCACACCAGTGTCCAGCAGGCCTGTGGGGACAGAGCACACCAGTGTCCTCAGGTCTTGTGAGGGACAGAGCACACCAGTGTCCTCAGGTCCTGTGAGAACGGAGCACACCAGTGTCCTCAGGTCCTGTGAGGACGGAGCACACCAGTGTCCTCAGGTCCTGTGAGGACGGAGCACACCAGTGTCCTCAGGTCCTGTGAGGACGGAGCACACCAGTGTCCTCAGGTCCTGTGAGGGACGGAGCACACCAGTGTCCTCAGGTCCTGTGAGGGACAGAGCACACCAGTGTCCAGCAGGCCTGTGAGGACAGAGCACACCAGTGTCCTCAGGTCCTGTGAGGACGGAGCACACCAGTGTCCTCAGGTCCTGTGAGGACGGAGCACACCAGTGTCCTCAGGTCCTGTGAGGACAGAGCACACCAGTGTCCTCAGGTCCTGTGAGGACGGAGCACACCAGTGTCCTCAGGTCCTGTGAGGACAGAGCACACCAGTGTCATCAGGTCCTGTGAGGGACAGAGCACACCAGTGTCCTCAGGTCCTGTGAGGACAGAGCACACCAGTGTCCGCCAGGCCTGTGGGGACGGAGCACACCAGTGTCCTCAGGTCCTGTGAGGACGGAGCACACCAGTGTCCTCAGGTCCTGTGAGGACGGAGCACACCAGTGTCCTCAGGTCCTGTGAGGACGGAGCACACCAGTGTCCACCAGGCCTGTGAGGACAGAGCACACCAGTGTCCTCAGGTCCTGTGAGGGACGGAGCACACCAGTGTCCTCAGGTCCTGTGAGGACAGAGCACACCAGTGTCCACCAGGCCTGTGGGGACAGAGTACACCAGTGTCCTCAGGTCCTGTGAGGACGGAGCACACCAGTGTCCTCAGGTCCTGTGAGGACGGAGCACACCAGTGTCCTCAGGTCCTGTGAGGACGGAGCACACCAGTGTCCTCAGGTCCTGTGAGGGACAGAGCACACCAGTGTCCTCAGGTCCTGTGAGGGACAGAGCACACCAGTGTCCTCAGGTCCTGTGAGGGACGGAGCACACCAGTGTCCTCAGGTCCTGTGAGGACAGAGCACACCAGTGTCCAGCTGGCCTGTGAGGACAGAGCACACCAGTGTCCTCAGGTCCTGTGAGGACAGAGCACACCAGTGTCCACCAGGCCTGTGAGGGACAGAGCACACCAGTGTCCACCAGGCCTGTGAGGACGGAGCACACCAGTGTCCTCAGGTCCTGTGAGGGACAGAGCACACCAGTGTCCTCAGGTCCTGTGAGGACAGAGCACACCAGTGTCCTCAGGTCCTGTGAGGGACAGAGCACACCAGTGTCCTCAGGTCCTGTGAGGACGGAGCACACCAGTGTCCTCAGGTCCTGTGAGGACGGAGCACACCAGTGTCCTCAGGTCCTGTGAGGACGGAGCACACCAGTGTCCTCAGGTCCTGTGAGGACGGAGCACACCAGTGTCCTGAGGTCCTGTGAGGGACAGAGCACACCAGTGTCCTCAGGTCCTGTGAGGAACGGAGCACACCAGTGTCCTCAGGTCCTGTGAGGGACAGAGCACACCAGTGTCCTCAGGTCCTGTGAGGACGGAGCACACCAGTGTCCTCAGGTCCTGTGAGGACAGAGCACACCAGTGTCCACCAGGCCTGTGAGGGACAGAGCACACCAGTGTCCTCAGGTCCTGTGAGGACAGAGCACACCAGTGTCCTCAGGTCCTGTGAGGACGGAGCACACCAGTGTCCTCAGGTCCTGTGAGGGACAGAGCTCACCAGTGTCCAGCAGCTGTCTGTGTGTGTGTGTGGGGGAGTCCTTTTTAATGGAAAGTTCCAACTTTTGATGTCTGCACCCAGTACTCTGGAGGTTGCCTTTAAGGGGTAGTTACACGAGGATTTGTACTTAAAAAGGGACAGTAGTTTTGGAGAGGCAGGAGGATTTTGATCGAGTCTGCTTGCAACATTGATTGCTGTGTTGATGAGTTGAATTCATTACAGGACACATTGCTGTTGTGAATTGAGTTTGTAGAAAGAAGTAGAATTTCTTTTTTTGTTTTGGTGTATTTGAAAGGCAGAGAGAGAGAGAGAGATCCTCCATCGCTGGTTTGCTCCCCAAATAGCTGGAATGGCCACAGCTAGGCCAGGTGAAATCCAGCAACCAGGAACTCCATCTGGTTCCCCGACATGGCTGCAGGGGCCCAGACACTTGGGCTGACTTCCTCTGCTTTCCCGGCACTTTGCAAGGAGCTGCATTGGAAGTGGAGCAGCGGGGACTCGAACCGGCATCCACTGTGCTGCAATGGCTGCCTGAAGAAGGAGAATGTCTGGGGTGTGGGCTTTCCTGGAGCTTCGCCTCGGCGTCTGCTGGGATCGGGGACCAGGAGCCATGCATTGCGCGGTGTTTCAGGGTTGGGCTGCGTTGAGCATTGCAGACACGGTGGCTCTGATGCTCTGTCAGTCGGCGGTAGCTGCGGGAGTTCTGGTGACCTCCGCCGTGTTCTGCAGTTGCCTGCACGTGCCAGGCTCTCAGTTGGAATGAGGCTGTCTGTGCCTCTTCTGGATTTGGGGCGCTGCTTTGTGTCATGCAGGACAGAGGCTGAGGGCCCAGGAGGTATTCCTGAGTCCCCCGCTCCCTGGCAGCCTGAAGGACTGTGAGGTTTCTCTCCCACTCAGCTCGGCCCTTGGGGCTCTGTGGCCTGTGAGGGCTGCAGCCCTAGGGGTGTCCCTGGGTGCTGTAGGCGAGCCCAGCAGAGCAGGCCAGGTAAGCGCAGGCGAGGGGCTTCCTGCTGCGCACTGAGCGTGTGCGTTGCATCCTGGGAGAGTCAAGGTGGAGGGGGCGAGGTGGCACAGGGCTGGCAGGACTCGGGGGTCTGCGTGGTGAGGAGGCAGGCCTCCCGGAGGCCAGGACTGGACTGATGACCCCAGAGGAGGGGTGCCGGGTTAGTCAGTCACCGGGATGCGGGAGGGACTCCTGAGGCCGACCCTGGTCCCGGCCCACGGCCTACCCAGTCCACGATGAGGACCTTGCCCGTGTCCAGCTTCTGCTGCAGGAGTTTGGCTGTGATGGCTACGGAGTTGAGGGGGGTGGGGAGGAGAGGACACTTTCACGGGCTGGGCCCGAGGCATCTCCAGAAGCTGTGCTTGCTTTGCTCGCGGTCCCTGTGAGCCCTCCCACCCGAGGGGGAGCCAGCCCCAGGCTCAGCCTCAGACTGCCGCTGCCCAGCCCTGGTCTCCCACTGCCGGCGGGCGGCTGCTCCCAGGGCGAGGCCTAGGACAGGCCCTGCCAGTCACACCGCCTGGCTCCGGGCGTGGAGGCTGGGTCCTCGTCGCTCTCCCTCAGCTCCTGTCAGAGTGCTCCCGCCCAGGGGTCCCGTGTGTTCACGGCCGTGACGGTGGCTGTGTCGTTTTGTTCGCTGGGACCCCAGAGGAAGGTGCAGTGGAGTCCTGACCAGCCGGGGGAGGTGGGCCGTGAAGCTGGGCTCTGTGCATGTGCGTTTCTCACTGCGCTCCTGGGAAGCCCCCAGCCCGGTGCTGCCTCCTGGTTTTGCAAGCAGCCCCTGTGGCCCTGGCCAGCAGGGAACAGTCCTCACATCCTCCAGTCCGTGCCTCGCCGACTGGTGCTGTGTGGACAGGGACGCTGTCAGACTTGGGCAGCATCGAGTGGCGCTGGGATTCAGGCTGTGACAAGCACAGCCCCAGCTGGCACCCAGCCCCTTCCTCACCCCTGCCTGCAGAAGCCCTGGCAGGCTCAGCACCGTCATCCCGAGTCCCGGGCAAGTCGCAGCAGGTAGTGGGGGCTGCAGCCCTGGCCTGAGCTTTGTTTCCTGTCACCAGCGCTGGAGCGTCCCTCTGGGTGGGACAGGAGAGGGAGACCTGCCAGTGGCCACAGCTCCTGTGGAGAGGGGCTGCCCGCCCAGCCTCTCCAGGCTCCCCTGGGAAGGAGCTCAGAGCTGAAGACGGGGACCCAGAGGAGCCGCCGTGTGCCAGGGACGTGGAGAGGACGGTGCTTCCTTGCTGAGCCACCCTCTGAGCTGGGAGTGTCCGGGCAGCTCACGGCTTTCCGAGCCGAGCCGCGTTGCCTGGTTGTCTGTGTTTACATGGAGTTCACAGCTGGCACTTGGAGGGTGCGCCGGCAGTCCCGGTTCCCGCCCTGAGAGCTGGGCCCGATGGGTTCCGCCTGCGCCGCCGCGCTCTCCCGAGGCGTGTGTGGAAGAACGTGGCTCTGGTTCCTGCTTGCTCCCCTTGCGTTTTCCTGTGAACGTTGATTATTAGCCAGGAAGGGAGAAAGGGAACTTGGGTGCTTCCGTGTTCCTGGCGAGGATGGCGGAGTCTGGTAGCTTTATGGTGGATTCTAAAGTCGCACCCCTGGGGCTGGAATGCTGGCTGGCGCCCTGGGGAGGGCAGTGGGCTCCTGCCTGGCCCTGCACACATTGGGCCCTTGTGCGGGTGGCTCCCGTGCCCACGGATGGAATGGGGCTGTCGTGGCTGCGAGGTGGGACCGGCCGGGCCCCTGGGGCTGGGAGCGGCACAGCAGCCTGCGTGTCCTGGGCTAGGGTGACAGCCGCTCCCGACTCTCAGTGCCACCAGGGAGTTCAGCTGCCAGTGTTTCCTGGGTCCTGGAGCAGCAGCGTCTCACGTGCTGAGGGCTTGCCCTGAGTGACAGGCGTCACGCAGTCTCAGAGGGAGCGGCGGGGGGCCTCCGCTGCGTGTGGCGTGCTCCGCCTGAGCTTCCTCACAGCACGGTTGCTGCCTGTCCCTGAGCCCTGCTGTTGACCCGTCTCCTGGGCGAGGACGCTGCAGAGAGGAGGCGGGAGCGCCGGGCCCCCAGGCTTCGTCAGCCAAGGTTGCGCTCTGCCTGGGCTCCTGCATCAGAGCTGCCGGCAGCCCTGCCTGCCTGACATGTGGCTCCACCCAGGCACAGTGTCCAGTCTCGCTGGAGGGACGTGCAGGCCACACTCCAGAAGCCACGAGGCACACGGAGAACAGAGTCCACGTGTCCAAGGTAGCAGCGGCTGGGATCCTGGTCCCTGCCACCCTGCTCTGCTTCTGAGGCTCACCGGCTGGAAGGGCCACCCTGCTCCTGGCCGCATGGGCTGCTGTTTCTGGAGTGGGGTGGCCTGCCCCAGCCCCAGGGCAGTGCCTGCACGTGGCCCGTGGGAGCGTGTGGTCACTTGGAGTAGTTTTCCCTCAGGTGATTGGGGCCAGTGTTTCCAGATCCTGGGGTTCCTGGGGGTGTCGAGGCCAGACGGGGGCACCCTGTGCCTTAGCAACACCCAGCACTCTTAGCTTTCTAGTCTCTCTGGTGCTGGGGGAGTAACGTGCTTCTTTGATACACCCCTGTGGATGATTCCAGAAGCAGTTGTCCTCACCGCAGTGCAAAGCCTGCCAGCACATCTGGGAGAATTTGCTGTAAACTCGTCTTTAGCAGCAATCGCTGCTCTTTAGCAAAACCCCAGGTTTCTGTCGATCGCACCCAAAGCTGGTCCGTGCAGGGAGCGCCGAGAGCGCGAAGCCGGCCTGTGCCGCTTCGCTGTTGGTGCAGTCTGCTCCCGACTTCCGCGAGAACCCATGTGACGCCGCACTTCCGTTTTTGATTTTTTAGTTACTACGAGCAACCCGGACAGGTGTGGTCTGATGTGTTCCAGGTCTCATTACTAAAGCTTAACCTAAGTCACAGCAGGTTAGCTGTGACTGTGGACACGGCTAGGAAGGTGCATGGGGCCTGGGCAGAGCCTCCCTGTGCAGTGACTTCCAGGACACGGAATGGCAGTCTTCCATGGGAAGTCCCCCCAGGAGACATTCCTGTCGCCCCACTGTCCGTCCATCCACCTCCATTCAGTTGGGCCTTCCTCTTTCTGTATCCCTCGCTATTCTGCAGTGGGAGAAAGTCCCCCTCTGCCCCCGCTTTCCTGTCACTGGGGTTGGGAGGCACAGGTGCCCCTGTCCTGTGGTCTCTGCTCAGGGGTGCAGCCCTGAAGGACCCCCCCCCCCCACCGCTCCCTACCGTGAGTTGTAGCATTCGGAGGCTGGTTCTGTCCTCCCCTGGGAGGCAGGAGACTGGGCTGACCTGAGTGGAGGAGACGCCCCAGGGAGCTGTCAGCTCTGGGCTGGGAGGAGGGGCAGATCTGCTGCAGCTCTGAGGCTCCCCTGGCCCAGGACCTGCAGCCGGAGAGGGAGGGCAGAGGTGGGTGGCAGGGCCCTGCTGCCCACAGCTTGTGGAGTTTCCTGGGGGTAGGGCTGGGGTGTGTAGAGCAGGAGTGACCGGGAGGAAGTCTGTGTCCTTGGAAGCTTTCCCCAGAAAGTCCTGACTGCGCCACTTGGAGCAGACGCCCCCTGCAGGTGCCGCATGGCCTGTGTTACAGGGTTCAGATTTGCAGCTGGCTTTGAATTCCTGAGCCAGGTGCGCCTGACCTGCATAAAACTGCCCGCTGGGGCTGGGGACGGAGGCTGCCCGCCTGGGTCAGGTTTCCTGGCCGCTCTCCTGTGAAGGTCATCTGGGCTCTCCCCAGCACAGGGCACAGCATATGCTGGGGAGAGAGGCAGAGTTCCTGCTGGGGCCAGCTGTGCCGCCCAGGACTAGAGTCAGTGACAGCTGGGGTGGGGGCAGCTCCTCTGTCCTCAGTCCCTCCACAGACACCTGGTCTTCCACTGTCCAGCTCCTGGCTGGCTGGTGTCCCTGTGTGTCAGTCGCAGCACCCGTCCCCCCGTGGGTGGAGCGTCCTCCGCCCTGGTCTGCGGAGGACGAGGCTCAGCCTGGATGCTTCCAGGCTCTGAGAGTGGACTGCGGCAGGCAGGTGCCAGGCAGCTTCTCCCGGCGCAGGCGCAGAGGTCTGTAGGTTCCCAGGGCATCGAGACCTCTCCCCAACTTGGCACTACCCTGCTCGTGGTGGCAACGAGAGGCACACTTAAGGGTTTTGTGAACGGTCTGTTCTTGGGTCATGGATCACAGCTGGGCCATCTGTGAGTCTGCCTGGGGTCTCTGGAAGGTGAGAGGCAAGGCTTGGTGGGGTGAGGCACTGGGACCCTGCACAGTTGGGTGTCACGTCCCAGGCTGATCACAGAGATGGGCAGAGTGGGCAAGGCGTCGTCCACACCCTACACCCATCAGGCTCTGCCAGGAATGAGGCTTTGACCCAGTGCTGGGCCATCCCCAGGAAGGCCGACCTCTCTGGGTGGGAGGAGCTGACGGGGCCAGAGGCTGCCTGACTCCTTGGGCCTGTGTGGGACCTGCTGTGTGATCCTGGGCTCAGCCTGGACTGGAGGCTGCCAGGGCTGACACCCCCTTCCCCACCCCCACTTCCTCCCTTCCCCCCTTTCTGCCTCACCCTCCTCCTCCTCCCTCATCCTTTTTTAAGTTGGGGGAGGGGCCCACAGACAACAGTTAGGATGCCTCTGGTGGCTGACCTTGAGAAAATGTGCCTTAGCTTGCTGAAGTGTGCTGTCACTGTCTCTCCTTCGGGCAGATGTCACTCCTGCGAGCTGACCTGTTTCTTCATCTGTCTCAGAGTCAGAGATCATACATAGACTTCACACCTTTCTTTCAAGGGGCAGGCACACAAAGTTTAACTCCCGGGAAGTTCAGCGTGGAAGGGCTTGCGTGTCTGCCAGGAGCACCGGTGCTGAGCATGGCCCGAGACTTGCCACCAGCCGCTCGGAGGTGCTCCTGGTGGGCAGAAGCCCCAGGGTGGGGGGAGGTGCTACACCCCCCACAGGGAAATGGCAGAGGTTAAACTTGAAACTTAAAAGGAAGTTTGGTGGATTTTTTTGGTTATAAAAATAGTATCTTTACTGTGGAATTTTTAAAAAGATTCTATGTACTCACCTAAAAGGCAGAGTGCGGAGTGACAGAGGGAGAGATGAGGAGAGGGATAGAGAGAGAAAGAGAAAGAAGGAGACAGCCTTCCATCATCTGGTTCTCCCCCAAATGCCCACCGTAGTCAGGGCTGAGCCAGGCTGAGGCCAGGACCCCGGAGCTCCATCCAGTCTCCCACGTGGGTGCAGGGACCCATGCACTTGGATCATCTTCCGCTGCTTTCCCAGGCACATTAGCAGGAAGCTGGATGGGAAGCAGAGCAGCTGGGACTCAGACTGGCATTCGCATATGGGATACTGCTGTTGTAAACTTGGCTTACCCTGCCGTGCACAACATCTGTACCTGCTGTGCCGTGTTTTTAAAGGGGGAGTGAATCCTTGATACTCCTGACTTGGAATATCACAGTGATGGTTTCAGTACTTTGTAAAATTGATCAGGAAAATGTTTGGTCTTTTACTTTTACTGCACAAGTTTTTGTTTTTTTTTTTTTTAAGATGTATTTATTTATCTGAAAGGCAGAGTTACAGAAAGAGGGCGAGCTTCCATCAGCTGGTTCACACCTCAAACGGCCACAACAGTCATAGCTGGACTGGTGTGGAGCCAGGAGCTTCCTCTGGGTCTCCCACGTGGGTGCAGGGCCCAAGCACTTGGGCCATTTTCCACTGCTCTCCCAGGCACATTAGCAGGAAGCTGGATCGGAAGTAGAGCAGCCAAGAGTCAAGCCTGCGCCCATATGGGTGCCGGCGCTGCAGGTGGTAGCTCTGTCACAGCACCGTCCTCCTCTGCAGACAGTTTTAAGCCCGCAGACTGAGAGAGGTGCGTGCCTGAGTCCTGTGCAGCCCTCGTCCAGGGACTGCAGCCCGTGGGTCCCCGCCTGTCCACTGGGTAACCCCGTCACTCTGCCCAATCCCTGGCTTCAGATAATTTTCTCTAAATGCTTCCATGTGCTTTTTGCAAAGGTAGGAGCTCGTTTTCAGAAGTCAGTTATGATACGGTTAACTCATCAAATAAATAATTTAAAGTAATCCCTTAATATCATGTGGGCAGTGTTCGGAGCTCCCTGACCCATCATTTCCCTAGACTGTGCCGACGGTCACGGCCGGCTCTCCGCTGTGCCTCCCTCTTCCTCCCGTGTGGCCTTGGTGTGGGAACGCCCCTTCCTCGTGGTGTCATTTGCCGCCTTTCTCTCCAGCAGCCCTTGCTTCTTCCTTGCATTGGCACGGCCCCTGGGGCCTCACGGGGACACTGGCTCCCATGGGCCCGTGGGCAGCGGATATCAGTGTCCCTCTCGGCACGGGTGGTCACTGACAAAGCAGGCCTGTAATGAGCTCGGGTTCCGCCGAGCTGTCTCTCCACCGAGCAACGAGTGCCGGGGGTTTCGTGGGGTCCTCAGGGTGCCGTGACGGCTCCGTCCCTCCTCGGAGCCTCGCTAAGGCACCGGCCACACCTCTTTAAGGCTGGCTCTCATCTGGATGGCGTGGGTGTGTCCTGGGCCTCCTGGAGCAGAGCTCAGGGAGCAG